CTAGAGTAAAAGAATGTGAAAAGGGATTGGGGAAGAATGAAAAAGACAGGTAACAGCAGAGAAAACACAGTAAAAACTTATCTAAGTATCTCAATATTAAAAGAACACAATAATCATCAGGAATCAGCTGAACTGTCAGAGAGGTATTACAAGAAACACTAGGTTTTTTAAAAGAAAAAATTTCCATTAAATTGATTATTTCGGTGAAGAGAAGCAACGATACATAGAAGGCATCTCTGACACAAGCTTCTGCTTCTTGACGTCTAAATCACATTAGGCTTAGTTTTGGCCTTTTTTGAGAAATTATGTATTTAAGATTCTGCTCGCAGTGCAACAGTAATCTAAACCCTTCCTTTATTTTTCTGGCAAAAGCTGTGCATCACTCACGTTCAGCTGTTAACTACGAACTGTTCACATGTCTCAGTGTTGTTTCAATGTTCCTATGGCAAGGCTAAACAGCATTTCAAAAACAATGATATCCCCAGGCCTGCACTGTAGTTTCTGAAGCACAGATTAAGCACGGCATTCTGCTCAACAAGCTCATCACTGTTAAGTAACTCATCAGAAAATAAAGAGGGAATTATCAAATGGGAATTGCCAAGTAATTAGTTCTCTGAAGCAGATGACATACAACTGTTAAAGGGAGGGGCTTCCCTGTTAGTCATATGTCAGAGTAGAGCCTACTAATCTGTAAATAAAAATGTAGTGCATATGATTAGTGCTATGGGCTTTTAACAGCTAGTGGCACATGGAGAATAAAGTTACAACTTCTTGTACTGTAACAACCTACTAGGAATTTTTTTTCCCCTTGTATACAGTGAATTTTTAAACCATTATGTATCTACTTTCTACTCAGCTACTACACATGGCCCTGAAAAGGAACTGCACCAATGAGAAAATATTCACAAGTACAAGATTTCTGAGCACGGTAAAGAAGGATTAAGCCTGCTTTTTGTAATTATCCTTCTCCATTAAAGCCAGGCTTTCTTTTAAGTAGCTGGCCTCACAGAAATGTTAAATCTACAAAACTGAAAAGGCCTTCATGCCTTTGCGTACCTGACAAACACAAACATGGTAACAGTCACAACCACACTCCAATATGAGTGAGAAACACTTACATTTGTACATTTTTATACTGCAAAGAGTGACTCAAAAAATCCTAGTCAGGTTTACAGCCAGTTCCAAAATAAGTAGTTGATGAGAAAATAAAGAAGTAAATATCAAATCTGGGGTTTGCCTCCATCAGTGTCTCACTATGAGAAACCCCTGAGTCAACACATTTAAATCCAGATGCTCTCACCTGGGCTAACTTTTGACCAAACTATACCCCCTGGTAAGGAAGGTTGACTTTCACCCAAAACCACATTCAGGAGGAGGGCAAACACACAGACTCAGGCTTCTACACAACTTCACATCACATCTAGTCACCTCACCACCTTTTGGCCCCCAAGGACACAGAACTCTCCAATTCATACTTACAGTAACATCCAAAAGCCCACACTTTTAAAGTAATATTAACAAGTTGCAGTGTGTGGGACAGCAAGTCTCTAATTCCATTTGATACACCTTTTTTAAAATACCAAGGTGGAAGGTGAATCAAACCTCAGATTGTGGCTTGTATCACACTATGAGCACGTGCCTTGTATTTTTATGTAGACAGACCACTACACCTAACTCCACTTACACTTCAGACTGTGTATGAAACTTTCTATCAGTCAGACACCAGACTTTCAGTATCTGCTGAAGGGACAACAGAGCAAAAACATGAAAGATTACAGCTGAGGTGAGGAGACCACAAAGCTTTGTATCTAAGGCAATGCCTGCACTCACATAATTTCATTTAATTTACCTTTGAGTTACCCACACACAAAACAAACAATTTAAAAAAATTAAAATTATTTCTAATTATTATCCTATTATATCTACTTCACAGCTCCATTTCACTTGTGCTCTTAACATGCTAAAATCTCCATTGCCTATCTTCTTTTAGCCCTACATCTACTGCAGGCCTCCATAAACAGTATGAGAGGGAAGAAACAAAACCAGCTATGATAGAAGGACACTGATATGACAACCAAAAAGCTACCACTGCACACAGTAATACAGAGAGATTGGCTCTTTTTGTGTTCACTATTAAGTATTTTAAAAGGGTAGATTGTTGTCCATTTACAGAGAGCAGTAGCCAGAAGCCTGCACAAAACAGAAATTACATCTTATGTACAAAATAAGCTACAATAGATAGTGTACAGACATAATTATTGAAAATTCCACCCCAAAAAAATTTTTACAAATGGGCTACAGCTGTAAATTCAACCCAGTACTATAATATGATTAATAAGTATCAAGTGATTTGACAGTGGAAAAGATTAAAAAGAACTCTTTAATTGTTAAAATGTCCAGTGTATCATGCAAAATCCTCTCAAGACAACTGTTTAAAGGAAAGCATTGAGCCATTTGCCTACGTGGAAGGAGGCAGTGCTTGCTGTGAACAAATAACAATAGAGAGAATAACAAAACAAATAACAGTAGAGAAGGCTAAAATTAACCAAAAAAAAAAAAAAGAAGAAGTAAAGCTCTATCTATTTATTTCTTTTTATTTCATTTTTACTAATCCCATTTTCTTGTCCAGGCAATATGCTTTGCAGGCTTTGGAAAAAATGCTGCTGCTTGATTTGGAAGGGTAAGCACACCTGGAGCTCCCACATAGCAGCGACATTACCCCCTAAAGCCACACAAATCCTCAGGTGAGTAAAGCCACAAACGCACACGTAGGGACATCAGGTCTCAAGAACAGTTTCTGAGACCTCATTTTCGGACGTGTTCAAATGAGTCCAGTGTTCAGTCCCTCTGAGAGACTCCATGGTAATAACCCAGGTCTGCCTAAAACAAGAGAAGAGCTGTCACCACCTTCACCCTGAAATAAATGAGAAAGCCACAAAGTCGATGGGCCTGAGTATGAGATGTTCTGTCTTGAGCTGTGTATCTTATCGGTGGCTGCTCACTGCATGGTGCCAGGTCACGTTTCTTTCATGTGTTACTACTGTGAGCTTCTGCCTGTTTCTCCCAGTGAGAGAGAGAATGTTTGTAAGCAGGCAGTGTCTATCACAAAAACTTTTATCTCACTTATTTAGTTTTACAGTGGGCCTGATTTTGACTGTTCCATAGAGAAGACGGGAACTAACTAATGAGGTCAACAGAAATACCCCAAAATCAGTGACTAAAATGTCCAACAAGAAAAGAAACTAAACTAAATTTAAGGTTCACAAATACAACACTATACTTCAAGCTGAGCTGGTATAGAAAAAACAGCAGTTTATAACTATATTCCTGTCATGCCTCTGCACCAGACTTCACTAGGTTACATTTTTTATCCAAAATGTTTGCTTAACATCTAATATATTCTCTCTCCTCTGCAACTGCAGAAAATGCCAGATGCTAAAATATTCAAGGTGATTTGGCAATACATTATGGGTAACACAATCTGATTATTCACAGCATTTGACCAATATAGTATAAACTATTATTTTTTCTAATTAAGAAATACAAGCCTCTCCTGAAGTAATCACTTCTTCAAATAAATACATTTTTGTACAACTCAAGCTAATCCTGGAAAAAAAAAAAAAATGAAAAGCTTTGTGGAAATGATAATGTCTTAACAAAAAGCTTCCCTCTATCTCCCAAGTCAATAGCTGCTACCAAGTCAGTTTTCTTCCAAAATTGAAGGACAAAGTGTGTCAGTGCACGGGGCACTTTGTGTGGCTTCTCACTCTCAAGAAATTCTTATTGGTCTCAAGAGATACAGAGGTTAAAATACACCCCCACCACTCAAGATCACTTGTAAACCGTAACAGGCACGTCTTCGCACGTAACTACTCGCCTAGGCAACTTGCCTTAAAACACAGCACCTTTCCCCACAGCCACAATAAAATGTAAATTATGGGCTGCATACTTTGCTGTGACATGCTGTATACATTAAAAAGGTATCCTGCAATGGGGACTTTCTGATCAGCCTTGCATACATAGAACGCTACAGTAATTAGGTTTGCTGGTAATAAATTTAAAAAAAAAAAAAAAAAAAAAAAAACAACACAACACCACAAACAACCAACTTTGATTTTCTTCAAGTAATCATTATATTTAATTTTCTTTCATTTAAAGACACGAGCAATTTTATTATGATCCTTTATCTTTTTTTTTTAAAGCATTAGCAGTATTGCCAATCCCAAGCTCTTAAAAATCATAGAACAGGTCCAAAAAAATCAGGCTGGCTTAATGACAATCAGATTAAAGAAATAAAATAAAAATTTATGTTCTTTTTATTGGCAGTACGATTGTTGAGTCTTGGGACTTGGTTTTTTAAAGGTATTCTCCACAACCATATGGGAAGAAGAGAGAGAGGAAAGGGCAAGCAGACTGATATACGTGCACTGTTATATCCTAACTACGGCATTTCACGGAACAAAATCAGAAGAATTTAAAAGATTCCTCAAACAAGAGTAAAGGACACCTAGAGACATTAGTAGTGGCTAGTCACCCTAGGAAGTATTCTTATGCCAGACAAAGTTTAATGCATCGGAGGAACTTGGGACAGTGGAAAAGCCAAGCAGGTGGCAAGCATCGGGAACCACCGAAAATGTTCATAAAAGTGCAGGAAGGATTTATACAATTTTACGTGTGGCATTTTATAACAAAAATCAAAGTCTGTCAACTTTTCCATTCATACTATCATCTTTTAGTAAGTGAATATGCTCTGACCCGAGGTGAGCGTAAAACCACTCATCTGGAACCCACTTGTCCTGTTAGTCACTGAACTGAGTCACCAGAGTTAATGGAATTTTTCTGAGCAGAGTTTCTCAAGGACCTCTACTGCCAGGCAAGGGAAGTACAAATGTATCGCGGGTAGGTAATCATACAGACACCAGGAACGTGTGCACGCTTCTTAAAGCCCAGAGCAGACAGTGTACACTTGTAATAGGAAAATAAAAGCATTGCATTCTCACCTTATTGGCAGTGCATAACTGTACGGTGAAGACAAAAATGAAGGTGGTCACTGTCCTACAGGGTCAAGAATAAATTCACAGCTTGTATTGCTTGCCCATCTGGTTTGGCCTGCGATGTGACTGCTGATCCAGGAGTTGAAGAGACGGAAACCAAAATAAAAAGAAACAAAAGCACAGTTAAGAGTCAAGCAATTTACAACATGCTAAGACATCCCAATGAAGACTGAGAGAGGCTGCTTCTGCTACTACTCAAGCACAAATAAACTATAGATTTAATCCTGCAGACAGAGAACATACAGTAGAGAGTAGAGCCCATTTATTCAGACTGAGTGCTCTTTTCCTAAATGTGATCTTAATGAGGTGAAGAATCATAAGCGAGCTGAGATGACTGTCTTCACTGCTGACAGAACATATTTTATTTGAGAAGCAGCCGCATCCTGAAAACATGCTGCTGCAACTACTACTATTAGGTGAAAAAAATAATCACCATTTGGAACGTGACTTTGTCTTGTGTACTATTTTGCCATTAATGGGGGCATGCTATAATCTATGCCTACTACTGCAAAGTCCCAAATAATATCAACAGAGCAAAACCCTGCTGATTTTTTTTTTTTTTTTTTAATTTCTGGAATTTTGCTCAGTAAAATTATGAAGAGCCAGCACTGAATTTCTGCTGACATCACTTATTAAACAAAATACATTTGGGTTTTTCACTTGGAATCTCACCAAATATTTTTATCACTCCTGGTACAATGAAAGGATTTAGTGGGACCATTTCCCCCTCACTGAAAAGCATTTCTGTTGTTTCAGTTATAAGCATACTTACTAGTTCCTATTTATGGAAGGATTCACATGCATATTCAACTCTAGATAGGTTCTATATTCAATTCTTATTCAGCAAAACCCTTACTGGGACATGTACTAAAGTAACTTTGCAGACTGGGACCAATGAACGCATGCAGATCTGCACATGGTTGTACAACTACCTCAGACTACAGCTTTGAGAGAAAAAAAACCACAAAGAATTACATTCTCAACACATGCACTGAGACCAGAAAGGAATTATGGTCATGGATCTGCTTTTTGTCTTTTTGCAAAAGTCAGGAGTCTATAAAGTTTCTTACATTTTAAAACATTAGTCATGCATCACCTCAGCCAGAACAGAGTAAAAAACTTCAATTTTCTTAGAAAAAGAATGTGAACCACTGAATAAAACTCTAAAATACAGTGCATTCATCCAAATACCTATTTATTTTTTTATCACACTTGCATAAAGTAAAATGAAAGGATGAGGTCAGGATTTTCACTTTGCAAACCTTAGGCTATTGAAGTCACTGGAATATGCATGTCAGTTCTCTGCAATGAAATATTTACCTGTGCCAAGCCTGCCACACTTCTGTTTCTTGTGCTAATTATTTTTTTATCTGTTAACACAGAGCTGGCAACAGCAGCAGTCTCAGAAGATACCTACAACTAAATCTGTTATCTGCACTCTCTGAATTGTACACAAGGTACCCGTACGGTTCTCCAAAACAGGCAGATCATTCACAGCCTGCACGCTTTTAGCCGAGGCTGTCACACAGCCCGACGTGCCTCAAGCAGCATCAGAGTGAGCTGCCTCACACGCTGGAGTAGGTTTGCAGCCAACCAGTGCTTTCAGTCCACCTATGCAATTCTGACACGCATTTCCTTTACAGCCTGCCATACTGCTTTATTGCATTTCCCCTTCAATTAGGACACCACAACAAAAGAAGTGCACTGTATGAACAATGACAACGATAATCCCGGCTGCCATCTACTAAGATGTGCTGCTAAACTTCAGCAAGGGGAAAAGTAGGCCTTGATTTTGTTTTACTAGCTATGTTACTAAAACAATTGTTTTTAAATTCTAACATTTAAATCCTTAGTTGATTTTCAGGTGACTGCATCCAAGCATCTATTTTCTTAATTAATGGGAAACTAGGCCACCAGATCTATTACATAAAAAATTTTGTTAAGTGAAATTCCAGGCCTCTTGTAAATGTCTTTTAAAACACGACTATTTTTCTCAACTTCTCTAAATAAATTCAATCAGGCCAGAAAGGCAAAGAAGAAAAGTTGCATTATTTATTTTCAAAAAGTCTTTTAACTATGTATATATGGCCTTTTCGAAAGTAATTACTTTCTAACACTCTTAGTCACATAGGTAATTTGTCTTACAATAAAATATGTATAAGCAGCATGCAGCACACAAAGGCTCACACTACAGGAGTCGTCCTGCGTGCGACTATTCCACTCTCTCCAGCCAGTCCTCCTAACAAGCTCTTCTATTTCAAGCCACCTCCTCGGTACAGAGGCCCAAACAGAGGCAGACACACTGAGCAGGGAATATTCTCTCCTAACCAGAAGAAGCTGAGGCACTGAAAACTGCTCTTTGGGCGCAGAAAACTGCCTGCAAATGCCCTGTCCCCTTGTCCTTCTGAGAAGAAACACCTCTGTTCAGCAGGCAGGCTGAGACCTGCAAACTCATCACACCAGACCCAAGACCACTAGCTGCCTGTTACCACAAGAGCTGAACCACCAACAGGCATTTCTCATTACCTCCTCCTTCAGCTTCAATGCTTCAGCACCAGAGAGATTAAAATATCTATTTTAGAGCTATTTCTAGATTGCTTTATGCTCCTGCCTGGTACTTACAAATGCTCAGGAGCTGTGGGTGCTGATGATTTCTCATCACTGAGACACGAAATCCTCTGGGCCAAGTTCAATATTAGTGTAAGTGCACACAAGATTAGTGACTGGAATAGGGGTGTTACCCACTTCTACAGACACTTAATGCAGCTTCTTAATCAGGCAAAAATCCTATTTAAGCCCACAGTGCTCTTTGCCATGAAAAGTAATATAGAGAAAATAACAGTGATACGCAGCAGATCACTTTCTGAGCTCGGTTATTCTACTACATGCCTGGATTAAGTCCAATAAATGGAGTTATTCTAGATATACACCCATGTAAGTGGCTCACAATCCCGTCCCCTGGAGTCGCTCCAGATTTATGACATAGAACACGGTGCCAAATTTAGTGCTTTTAAAAAATTGTACCTACATGTGTAGAAAAGTGGCTTAAAAGAGTGATGTTTAAACACTGAGAATGAAGACAAATATACGTTGCTTGATGAAACATGTTTTTAAGAGCAGTGTGCAGTTCAAAGCTAATTATATTGCATATTCTTTCAAGGTATTATAAACTGTGGCAAAAAGTCTCCTGCTCTGTGGCTATAATATTTTGATGAGCACAAACACAAAAAAATAAAAATTAAAGAAATATTGGAAATGAAAGTAGTACTGGAAATGAAGTGTTTGCTCAGGAGAAAATTGGTTTTAGTAGCATATACTTAGCATTTTATCATGAGAAACTGCAGTCAGCTTTAACCTAAAACACAAAACCTTGCTAAGAACTATAACAAGGCTTAGCAAATCTAGAGCGACAACAGTGATATCAAGTATCACTGATTTTCGTTTTACCAGCCAGAGGGTGTAAACTACAGTACACGAGTGAAGAATAACAAACCTGTGGCCTAAAATGTGAATGCTGGAATGGGAACTGTTCCAAACAACATGACGGCCACCAAACCGTTAACCCAGACAGACAGGAGGGGGGGGGGAAAAAAAAAAAAAGGAGAACTCCAAAGAAACTTTCATGCAAGCTTTTATAAGCCAAAAGCATTTTTACGAAGTACCACAACTTCATTAATTTGCTAGTAATACACGCAAGTGGAGCTGACGATTTGGCTAACCTGCTAAGCGTGCCACGTAGGGTCCCGTCTGCCTGACACCACCGCAGGCAAAGAACACTCTTCCCAAGAAGTTCAGCCATTAGGAACCCACCACCGGCATCCTTCAATTTTCGGCAAGCCCGAGGCGGTGCCCACAGCACGCACAGGGCTGGCAGTAGCCCTCTGGGTCGCCTGCCAGCCACACACACACACCTGGCTGGACGGTGAATACGGTGAATCCCGTCTGTTACCATGGCAGCCTGATCTAATTACATGACTGATCAGGGCTGGAGTAAGCGCGCTGAAAGCCTGCACCGCTGACATGTCGCTACATGATGAGAGAGACAGACAGACAGCCGAGCACGGAGGAAAACCTATCGACCTCTGCCTTATGTAAAAAGTGAGATTACAGGCACCCTTTCAAAACAACTGCTGTCTGTAAAATACCGGGCCGGTTTTATGAACAAATTAGGTGCAATAACGTCCAATTACTACTATTATCTCACATCACAAAAATAACCACAGCGTAACATTTTCCCTGACCATTCTCAGTTTCCCTCTCCCCCATTCATAACCCCCTGCTCCTTATGATAAAATTGCACCGTCTCCATCACCCAGAACAGAAATAGATTAACACGAAGCCGGGATTTTCCTTTAGGGGAAGGCTTCATTCGAAACTGAAATTAAAAGTCCTTGACTTCTCGGTGTGTCAGCACAGTAACTCACTATGCCTGACCATATCTGACACGTAAAGTAACCATTACTGCATAAAATACATAACCATGAGCGTTAAAGGTTAAAGTGTAAGCTGTGTTACAAAATATGAATTTCTTTACCATATGAAAGGGAAAAGGTCTCCAGCAAAGGTCATCTACCTGCACACCCCTGCCGATCTGTACACAGAAATCATTTGTAAAGAGGAAGGTTTTACAAACCCGGATTTCTTCGTCTGGGCGTAACAGGAATGCTTAAAATTTTTCCCCAATTCTATCTGGAGTTCGGGCTCACGGGGGAGAGATGCTGCTCGGAGGAGTCCCTATTACACAGCATACGGTAAACAAAATAAAAATAGCCTGTCGCTCTCGTTGTCTACACAGTGCATTATATAACGGGCTTCCGACTTGTTTTCTTTTCTATTATTACTCTTCAGTAATTCCTCCTCTTCAATAACATGTAAATCGCTCCCAATTCTGTCATTTTATTATTACCGCTATTACTATTACAGTAGGAGCTAATGCTTTTCCAGCACGCTTTAATTTAGACTTTAATATTCTCAGGAATCGCATTGACGGATTCAGCACCCACAACCGTACACGGGGTCGTTTATTTGTTTTTCTGCCAGTAAATTACGATGCTTTAGGAACAAAA